AGTTTACATAAATAGTTCACAAATTTTAATTCAACAAACGTACAAAACATTAACAGAGTAAAACATAATCTGAGTATTCTGCAGAATACTCTCATTCTGCAGAATACTCTCTTATAAGCAAAATATTTAAAATTGCCACCTTGAGATTGCTTTTAAAAACGTTAATTTATTTTACTAGATTTAAATAGAAGAAATGCAATGCAAATACCACATTTAATCCGTTTTTTAAGCTTTGTTACCACATCACCTAAATATCCTAAAAGAATTTTAAAAACATCGGAATTTAAAATGAATTCTTTCATATATACCAAACTTATTGTCAAATTAATAGTTTAAATAAGATAAAAGATAATGAAATATTTATCATAATGTTGATTCTTTTGTACTTAATTATGTATAAAAAATACGTTTTATATACGTTTTGCAAATACTTTTTAATAATGTTGCAGAGAATCTTTAAATAACATTATATAAAACTTCAATAAAAGATGAAAAATTTTTTTTTGGTAAATTGTTAAATTTTTGGCCGCTTAATAATTTTGCAACACCCCCATCCAAAAGTAACAGCATTTCCATCCGGATGGATAGAAGATAAAATATTCGTGCAGAATTGTATTCGTCACTAACGAATACAATCCTGCCATTAAATAAGTTCCAGGTAACTAGTTTAATTTTTAATTAAATTAGTTATTAAATTAAATAAATTTAATTATAGCTATTGAATTATAATTATTCATATTTTAGTCGTATATAAACCTTGACACCAGTTACCTGTCAGGTCATACTTATTAACGTCAAAAAAAATATCTAATTATTTTGCTTATCAGCTTATTTGTCATACATTTTGCAGCCATTAGATGTTCGTTTATTATGTTGTGTTTAATATCATGTCAAAAGAGTTTGGTGAAAATCAATTCGGAAGTTTTATGTAGGCAAAGTTCAGTAATTTATTTAAAAAATACTTAAATTATTACCAATAGGTGAAATTGTACATCCTTATATGGGTCTCAGAGTCTATTAACCCTATCCAACAGATATTGGTTAACTTAACAAAATGTGAGTTGGATACATTTGATAAATCCTCAATTGAATTGGTTAAATTCCTTATAAGACACCAAGTTTTTGTTGTATTTCTAAATACAAAATTGATGTTTTTGTTTATTGCTACTTATTGTTTAACCGGTGTTTACTAGATTAAAAAAACTAAACTATGTTTTTACATACGATGAAATAGTTTCAATGATGTTTCGGATGCAAGTACATTAGTGTACATTTATTACTATATACATTAATGACATTAATAAATTGTTCAAAAGAAATAGCTGAGAATATAAAATGTTTTGAATTAATTAAATTGTTATGTATGTTTTTTTGAAAAAAAGACATACATAAGTATAATATATTGCCTTTTTTGATGAATGTTAACAAATTTATAAAAATTTTATTATTTACTTATATTAGTTAAATGTACATATTTATAAAGATTTTCATCCTTTATATTAAACTGCAATTGTACTTTGCAACATTAACAACTTTATTTTGTTTTTTACATGAAAGGCTCGCATAGCTGCATCTACGAAAAGATTCTTGTGACTTCTACATGTAAAGCTCGCATAGCCCACATCTATGAAAAGATCGTTGTGACTTTAGATATCTTCTTTGAGCTTCTTCCTGTTTTTTATAAACTCTTTTTTTTTTAAACATTTCTTTGTAATTTTATTTTCTTATTATGTGAACAGCAAACGAAAAAAAAAATCTGATATTATAGATTCTAACTAACATGCTATTTTTCTATTTATGATCAAATGTAAACATTTTGAGAAACGAACAAAAACGGGTGGAATCTAGTAAAAAGTCTATTTAGAACGCTTTAAACAAAAAGCTCATTTAGAAAAGCTTTTTTTATGTTTCATTTTACTTAACAAAAAAAAAGTTGAATGAAAATAATAGAAAATTTTTCTGAAAACATTTGAAAATGTCAAAACAAATTTTTTGCTACAGACTTTAAAGAATAATATAAAAATGATGTCAGCGTTGCATGATGTGGTTGTCCAACATGCAACGCCGTACCATGATGTCATGATGATATGATGTACCATGATGTCCATGATGTACGGCGTTGCATGATTTATTTAAGACACGTTGAGGTTATCCAACAAATTTTACACTAAGGTTGTAAAAATAAAATGACGCAATATTTGTTTTGACCCACCACTATGAAACCTTTAATGACAGAAGTTAGAAGACGGGGGGTGGGACTGTTGTTGACAAGGAAAAAATAGAATAAAAATGTTTAAAATAGTTAAAAATGCTAAAAATTTTTTTCTTAATTGTTTAGTAATGAATAAACAAGGCTAATTTGTAAAACTTATTATTTATTTTTTAACTTTGTTTTACGCTAACAAAGAAAACTAAAAGTTTTACTCTAAGTCGTCATGCGTTGTAAAACGGGTTAGAAAGTTCGTCAATGGTCAATAAAATTAAAAATAAAGAACAAAATAAAAATAAAGATCGGAAATAAAAACCAATACGTTTTTTAGCATGCGAAATTTTCAATAGTAAAAAGTCTTTTAAGTTGCCGGCGTGTCTAAAAAACCTTTTAAAAATGCTAGTTTGAATACATCTGTTAAATGTAATTATTTTATTTCTTAACCTTCAAAAACAACTATTGCAGCTTTGTAGATTGCAGCTTTAAAAAAATACATTGCAGCTTTGAAGAAATACATTGCAGCTTTGAAGAAATACATTGCAACTTTGAAGAAGTACATTGCAGCTTTGAAGAAACACATTGCAGCTTTAAAAAATACATTGCAGATTGAAAACCATATATTAGTGAAAAAAGTTAAGTGCAAGTGTTTAATTTTTTCTATGAAATTTACAAAAAAGTAAATCAATAACTGTTTATTTTAAGAATAAATATTTTAAAGTTAAAATTATACATAAATTTTTTAAAGTAAAAGAAACTAAAAGTTAGAAATGAGGTTATTCATGGCTCAATTCATTATTAAGGAGTTCAATTGGCGTTTGCGCACTCGCCCCCTCCTTTCACTTTGAAACCTGTGTCATCGGCCAAGTATGTAGCTCTTCTAAAAACTTTTTAAAGGTGTAAACTATTTTCATCTTTTTTTTGCTTCGTATTTTATTATGTCTGCAAATAGCATGATTATCTAAAAAAAAGATTATCAAAATATTGTAAATTATAAGCTAATTTTTTTAATGATAATATTTAAAATTGAGTTTTCTGGAATCGAAACTTTCAAAGGTTTTTTAAAGTGTGTCTCAAGTGAATATTAAATAAACTAAATATTAAATAAAAAAAAATTTATTTAATTAGATTTATTTAATAAGGTTAGTTAGATTTATTTAATAAGGTTTTAATTCCACATAACTTTTTATTATATCTTCGATTTATTATTTTACCAGCTTTTTTTATTTTAATGCTGATTGCCTCAATAAAATGTTGTTTACTTTTTAGATATATCAGCTTTTCCCATAATTTTACTTGATAATTTTTTCAACTTAATTTTATAATTCTTTATCTTTTTCTTTTTACAAATTATTAATTTCAAAATAAAAAATAATTTCGAATTAGTTTTTAACAAACTATTTGAAATAGATTACTGTTTTTTAGAGAAAAAATTTTTACTGATTCAAAAATTCATTTTCTTTTTTACTTTTTTTTTTTTATTTACATTTTTTGAAAATAAGTAAAAAAAATTTACAGTCGTAACTTATAAAAAATAATTACATAACGGGGCAAGAAGAAGACAAGTTTAGTCCTATCACCAAGCCCCAAAAAATGCGTCATTACTAGATAAAATATAGTTTAACAATAAAATATAGTTTCAATGAATATATCTCTGAATTAAAAATATAAAAGAAAATGTAAATATATCGTTTAGCCAGTTTTTCAAAGAATAAGATTCAAGAATTGTTTTGTAAAATAAAAGAAACAAAATTTATTATAAAATATTAAAATGACAAAAATAACATTTAAGAATTGGTTTGAAAAATTTAGAAGTTTTGATTTTATATAAAACACATTTTATTGTTAGAGCAATTTATAGTTTAATTTGTTTAATTAAATTTATAATACTTTTTATTGCCAATTCAATTTCTTTTAATCTTCAAAAATAAATAACGTAATTTATTTTAAATACATATCACAATTTAATTTAAACACATGTTATGATTTTTATATTGAATATTATAATTGATGTTTGATTCATTTTTTTGAATATAATTTTTGTTTTCAAAATCACAGTTTTGCATAAAAAAATTTTAAACTTTACAACTCAATTACGTAAGTTCTTTTTGTTTGATGTGCTGTCTATTCAGCATTAAGCAAACACATGAAAAAAAAAAAACATACAAAATGAAGTGGTCATTATATCTATTCGTCTAATAGGAAAGTCAATTTATTTAGCTTTTATAACGCTCTAAATATTATGAACTAATTTTATAAAATGCTAAGTATACTTAAGTATACTTTTAGACAAATAATAACTATGTAACCCAAATAAGCTAACTTTATGATTTTTTTTTACATCAATTCTGCGCACTTTCATATAAAAAAAATAAATAATAAGATTTAAGAAATCAGTCACACTTTGATTGATTGATCGTAATGAATGAAAAGCGACATTTATTTTTAATATTTTGGAACAAACTTAATACTGATAACGATTAGTTTTTATTGAGTTAGTAAATAGTTTGCTTTTTCTTGTTTTATTGCTCAACGAAAATATATTTACATAGAAAATGCCCTCAACAAGCTGTTTGTTTACACCTGCAAGTCCTTTTGTCTCCTTGACATTTTTCAAAAAAAAAGTATTTTTAGAGTAGGATTCTTAGCACGTGCAAATGATGAAAGGTATCAAATTTAATCTAGAATATGTGAGCGGTTTTAGAAGAAAGAGAGTGGGATACAAAGTTCTTATTTTGAAAGTAAATAAGCGAGTTATTATAACTTTACGCTTCATTTTCTATTTTCTTTTCAGACACCAAAAAGATTGATGTTGAGCATCAATTCAAACATATTTATTAAAAAACATAAATAAAAAAGAAGATACAAAAACGAAAATGACGAACATGAGAAGAAAACATGTGATTAGAATCTTGGTAATTACAAGTATTTTGACGTCAGCACAACTTAATGGTATGTGTGTTCATAAAGTTCGTAATTTGATTACCAAAATTTTTTTTCTGGACACCTTAGTAATGAGAAGTTTTAAAAAGATAAAAAATGTATGTTTTTCAGTAAAAATAAAAATTAAATTGTCCGAAAAAAAATTTGACTACAACGCTGTTAAACCCATACAGCTATGGTTTTTCTTCAAGGCTTCACTAAACTTTGAGTTCAGTTATTGGATTTTTTTTTTTGACAATTAATGTATTGATTGTACTTTTTCTAAAATTTAAGCACTACTTCACAAGTTTTCCATTAATTGATTTTAGTTATTTTTCGAACTCCGGTTAAATTATATCCGCTTGAATCTGCAAATTGCAATTTTGAGACAGAATGTCCTGCTTACAAAAATGATGAATTGGCAACTTTTAATTGGATTAAGGGAAATTTGACTACACCATCGCCACACACTGGTCCAGAGGGGGACAATACTCCAGGAATGAATGGTCTAGGTAATAGATTTTTTTAGGACAGTATTTTAAGTACAAAAGTGATCTTTTAAAAATAACCTACTTAAATTTAAAATATAATATAAAAAAAAAGTTATATGGTTAAAAAAATAATTAAATAGTGTATGAATTATAGACTTTATAAAGTCTATAAATTTTAAAAAATATAATTAATTCTTTATACGTTTTAGCACGTGCCTCTGTTTCCTTAACAACATACATAATTAGTTTTTAAAATTTATTGGAATAATTAAGCACATGAAAGGTAAGCTGCCATTTCAATGTACCTAATCAGGCGGTCAATAAAGATAAGGATGCCACAATCTTTTTATAAAACTCCTTTAACAACAAATTAAAACCCACTTTAATAAGTTTAAAATAAAATTTTGTGAAACATATTACGTAAAAAATAAAAAGTAAAAATTTTGTTACAATATAAATATCTAAATCTTTAAGCAAACATATAATATAATAAACACACTATAATATGTCAAATATATATATTGACAGGCCTTGGTTCATAATTGAAAATTTTTACACCTGTGACTTTACTCTGTTCAAATGATAGCTTTTATTGGTATTGTAAAGTATTTTTGAGAAAAAGCTGCTGTAAAAATATAAAAAAATGCTTTTAGCAGCAAGTCATTCTTAACTTATACATAAATAATAATATTTAAAATAACTTAAAGTTTGATATATTTAAGAGATTCGCGTATTTCATTACAAGGAAAGGATTTTCTGATATCTTTAAGTAATTGATTACTTTACATGAGTGGTTTAGTGAGTTTTATAACAAAATTACAAAACTTACAAAATCACGCATGTAAATATTAGCGTAGGATGACAATGAACAAAACTAAAATAAACCACTTTTTGTGATTTCTTTATCAAGAAAAGTTCTTGATTTTTATAAAACACTTATAAGTTATAGCAAAGGATATTTTTGTCTGAATGAGACTTACCAGTGACGGATCCAGGAAAAGGGAGGGGATGCATCCCCCCGCCGCCCCCAGTTTTTAAAAGTCCTAAAATATCTTAGAAATGGAGAACCTTTTTTTTTTTTAGGAGTCGTAAATGTGATATAAAATTCAAAAATATTGTAAAATCCCACACACCAAAAATTCCTGGATCCGTCACTGAGACTAACATGGTTTTTCTATAACAGATTCTCATTAAATAAAACTCGTAAAAACTTTGTATGTTTTTTCCACTTATTTCATTTTTATTGAGACGGTTTTGGCAAATTTAACGGGAGATTAATTTATTGTTTTATGGAGAAGAGTAACACTTGTTTTTTACAACTTAAAAATAAATTATTTGCTTTAAACCATTTGTTAAAACTTTCGAGTTCAGTGTTTATTGTTTCGAACAATATTTTTACATGGGAGTGGTCATGGAATAATATTGTATTATTAGCAAACATAATTGAATATATTTTTTGTGATTTCATTAATATATATTAAAAACAATTGTCGTAGATTATCCGCACAAAATACTAAGCACTCCTGACTCAACATTGTTTTCTGATAATTTTTAACCTACGTATATATTAGATCTTTAATACCATGATGTTTTAACTTTAAATTTAAACTTTTAACTTTTTTTTTAACTTTAAAATTTCGTGATCAACAGTATCAAATGCTTTTAAGAGATCGACAATACTTCTAGCACTTGTTCACCTTTATCATAGGACAAAAATAATTTATTGGCAAGTCAATAAAACAGTGTTTTTGAAATCCAAATAAATTTTTAGTATAAAAGTGTTTTTTATTTTATGTGATCATAAATTCTATTAAAAATTACTCTTTTAATATAATTTTGAGAATATAGGTAATAAGAACGATTGTCGCAATAAGAACGATTGTCGCAAACAGCATAACAATCACCTTTTTTGAAAACTAGATGAGTTTTGGCTAATTTTAATTTATCAGGAAATATAAAGGGAGAAGGAGGCAGTTTAGAACAGGGGTACTTTAGAACAATGCAAAAGTTGAAAAAACTAACTAATTAATTAACCAAGTTAAACATATTAGTTGATTGTATATACTTTCGCATGTAAAACAGGATTTTTGTTAGGAAGGCATCGAGTTAGCTTCTCTAGAAACGTTTTATGATTTTTGATATAACTTTATTTTTTCCCCCTATATTTGTTTTATTTGTTATTATTTTGTTGATAATAATTACTTTTTATGGAAAGCATGAGAGCTTCTTTTACTTTTTTCCGGTTTTTATTTACTCTCTTCCGGGTTATTTTGTTTACTCTCTTCCGGTTTTTTCATTTAAAACAAATCAAATTTTCTTGAAATCAAATTTACTCAGCTGTTTAGAATAGCACTTAATTTTAGCCTTTGTCAAACTAATTTAAGTAAACTGTTTAAGCTTTCTACACTTTTTCGTCAGTTTCGTTTTTAAATTTACGAAACAGACATTGTAATAAATAAAAAACGCTCAATTAAAGGTCTTTAAAGGAATAAAAGATTTCCCATCGCTCCTCGTACATGTTCTTTAAATTTTAAAAACTTAGATAAATTTAAATTTATCTAGGTTTTTAAAATAAACATTTCTTCTAGCAACAAAAATCTTTTAATTGTCGTTCTTAGAAAGGGCTCGCGTGTAATATGGAGGAAAGGAAAAGAACAATATGGGAAATCTGTAATAAAAAGTCCTGATTCAAAATGTGTATTTTAGCTAAAAGAGCTTTTAGCTAAAATATTATTGATTGCGGAAGAAGTTGCTTTTGTAATACACGTAGGTTTAAAAATTGTAAATTTAAAGTTATATTCAAATAACAAATTAAATTTTTGGTTATATTTTGTTTAAATCACGGCGAAATAAAGCATGCTGATTCTGCTTACTCATTTTTGATATTATAGTTTTAAAGCTATTATGGAGGTTAAATAAAATAATATTTGTTATTTTGGTTATATCATCATTTTACTTTCAATATACTTTTTTAAATATTCAGTTCAAGCATTTTTTTAGGAAACTATCTATACATTGAGAGTTCAAAACGGTTGAACGGAGATATAGCACGTTTTCAAACACATTTGATAGACAATGATATTCAAGATAAAAAAATATGTGTTGAATTTTTTTATCATATGCGGGGTCACACAATGGGAGAACTAGCAGTACTAGTTGACGAAATTGATCGAGAAGTTGTTATGTTTCAGCTTATTGGCAAGCAAAGTACCCAAGGTTGGAGCCACGGACGGTTTGCAATGGACACGCCTTCAAGTCCTTTTAAAGTAATAGCTGTTGTATTTTTAAGGAAAAAATATCTTTTTATATTTATAGATATATATAATTAGATTTATAAATATATATAAACAAATTTAGATTTATAAATATATAAAAAAATAAATTATCGAATAAAAGACAAAAAGTCGAAATTTTGTAACTGTAATAGTTACGAGGTAAGTAAATGTAATCCATATTTACAAAGTTATTATACGAAGTTTTAGTCACCTTTAGATAACTTATTAACTTTTGTCCAACTTAGTTTTTTTCGATAAGAAATGAATAAATTAAGTTCATGTGATGTCATTGTCATTTTTGTTTTTACTGTTTTAATGCAGATTTGACTCAATCTTTTTCAATACTTTATAACTTTTAAGATTCTATAATAAATATTGTTGCATCTGAAAATACTACATGTAAATGATGTAACAACGATTTGTTTATATGTTTAAAAATATACCTTGGATTTTTTGCTTACATAATATTAAAGTAAATTAATTTTGGACATTTTCTTTTATATTTTGTAGATTATATTCCAAGGCAAAACATCGTTTAGCTTTTATGGTGACATAGCAATTGATGATATTCATTTATATTCTTTCAGCGGAAAAGGATGTTACTCTTGGCCTATAAATTCACTTCCACTACCAAGTCAACCTCCTCCACCAGTACCAAACAATGGACCAGGTAACCACAACAATAACTAAACGAATATATATATGTATATATATATGTATATATATGTATATATATATATATATATATATATATATATATATATATATATATATATATATATATATATATATATGTATATATATATATATATATATGTATATATATATATATATATATATATATATATATATATATATATATATATATATATATATATATATATATATATATATATATATATATATATATATATATATATATATATATATATATATAAAGGAGTTTAAATTTTTATTTTGCTTTTACTTTTATTTTTAATTTAACTACTAAAATAATTTAGAAGATTCATCGACTTGCGGAAAGAGTAAGCTTAATCAGAACCCTGACAGCAAAACTTTTAAATCAACAAACCTTGCTCGAATAGTTGGTGGAACTAAATCTACTATCGGGGAATGGCCGTGGATGGCAATGGTTTTAATAAAAAAATTGGACGGATCTTTTGAACCATCTTGTGGAGGAGTACTTCTCGGTTTGGATTGGATTATTACTGCTGCTCATTGCGTGGCAGATGTTGCCAACAAAAATGATATTCTCGTTCGGCTCGGTGTTCTGGAACGGAGCAAAAAGCTAAAGCAAACTCAAGAATCCTTTATTAGTGATGTTTATGTCCATCCTCATTACAAAACCGAGAAGTTATATAACAATGATGTTGCTATGATAAAACTGAAAAAACCAGTAATGGTGAACCAATTTGTTGAATCTATTTGCATTCTGAACAACCACAAATTTTCACATGGTGATCAATGTTTTATTGCAGGTAATAAACTACAAATATTTATGAATTTGAAGTCTTTTGCAAACATTAATACATTTCAAACTGGTTTTTAAGGATGGGGAAAAGTGTGGAATGACGGCAACAAACCAGCTCCATTTAGTGAGATTTTGCGCCATGGCATGGTCACAATTCGAAAAACTTCTGAATGTAATGATATATACGGAGAAGCATTAACGGAAAATATGATATGCGCTGGAGATGAATCTGGAGTTCCAGATACTTGTTTTGGTGATAGTGGTGGTCCATTGATGTGTCAAGAAGATGGACAATGGTATTTTTTTATGAATATTTTTACTAATGGTTCAGAATAATTAAAATATTATAATTTAATGGTTTTAATTTTTTCTACAGGATACTTACCGGTATAACAAGTTGGGGAGCAGCAACTGGTTGTGGCCAGAGTAATATGTATGGTGTCTACACTAACGTAAAAACTGTTCAAAACTGGATTAAGTCGGTTATAAAATATCCTGATATGCACGAAACTCTGCATTTAGGCAATTAGAACAACAACTAGAGTATTTATCATAAATATATAATAAATAAGATATTTATTATAAATATATAATAAATAAGATATTTATTATAAATATAAGATATATTTGAATATAAGTTGTTTGTTTATATAAACTGCTTAATTGTTAAATATTTAATAATTAAGTAAACAAACTGTTAAAAAGCAAAATATTTGCAAACGAATTGACTTTTATGACTTATAAAACAACCAAATTTGTTGTCTTATGATATAATAATTCGTTTGGCGCTTATAATTAATTTTACTTTGACACTTTTTGTAAGTGTTTTAAAAGTTTAGGTTATATGTAACAGCGCCAATGGGAAAATTTATCCACGAAAAGTTTATTTAGTCATTTACTTTAATAAAAACGCAAAAATAATAATTGTAGACTTTATATATTTACTATAGAAATTTAATAAGACCTTTTTAAGTTTATATCGTCGTCATTATAAATTAAACAGGGTAGAGCAAGGGGAGTTAAGCATAGGGGCAAGTTGGGCGAATAAAATATCTCAAAAACCATCGTATGCTCTAAAAGCATCGTAAGGCAAAACATTACGAAAATAGAAAAAAATGCAGGACACTTTTTCTATTTTGGATCAAAAAAGTTAAAATAAAAATTAGGAAAGTGCGGGGCAAATCGGGATAGCTACGCCTAAGGCCTAACTATCTCAAAAAACCTTTTTTTTTTATGAAGCATTTTAAATTATTGCGTTTCATTACTGTAAAAAAAATTTAATTTTAAAAGCAATGAAATGTATTAAAAGTAGCAAAATGCATCAGTAAGTTTGCGAAAAACAAAAATTTTACATTTTCTTAAAAGGTTTTATCTTAATTTATTGCTTATTCGCTTTATTTATAAAAAGATTTTTTAAACATTTATATTTTGATTTAACTTTTGGAATCTGAATTTTTTAAATATCTAAAAATATCTCGTATTGAAATTTTTGAATAATATTTGATTAAGTAAAATGATTTTAGTAGGGCATGTAGGGACAATAACGTGAAATAAAGTGCTTCTTTGATATAAGTATGAAAGATGTGCAGCAAAAACTTTTATCAAACAAACAAATTAACAACGAGGAAAAACATGTCAATATAAAAGTGCGGCCGTGGCGCAGTGGTTACAGCGCTTGCTTTATAAGCAGGAGATCCAGGTTCGAGACGAGCTCTGGACATATTTTCGCGTCACGGTAAGGAAGGAGGCGTGAACTTCCTGGTTAAATGCGCTTCCGCAGTGCTCTGTGACGAGACCGTAGGTCTTCTTGGGGCACCTAAATTAAAAAAAAAATTTAATGATCAACGAGGAGAACGTAAAGCTGTCATGGGTGGAATAGAAAAAAGTTAGAATATATAAGCAATTTAGCTGTAAATCAGATTAGCAATGTAGAACCAAGGTTTTGAATATCATAAGCTAAGATTTTATCAAAGAAAACCAGATTTTGTTGCAGTAATGCTGCTTAGGAAAGGCTACTGCTGTTACGGCAAAGAGATATAGTATTCAGAGTTCAGCACATACAACTACTTTGGCTAATGTCATTAATTCAGCTGTTGGTAATCAAATGGACTTTGATATTTCTCATAAGTCAGCAAAAGTCCATTCAAGTAATGTGATTAGTGATAATGGGTTCAAAATCAAACAAGGTTTCGTTGAAATTTTGATAGAAAAATAGTAATAGAGTATTTTTATGGTGAAAATAGAAATGTTGAGCGCTTAGCGCAAGTGATTTTAAGTGTTAGTATTAATAAAGAACCACTTATTTGAGTTTTTTCTTTCACAGATAGTTGTGGAAAAATACTGGAATCTCTGGGTTTTGATACACTGCATCTTAAAATACAGGTGAGAAAAATAGTATAATAAATAATATTTTTGTATTTTTAAATAGCCGTTATACTTTTTTCATTTTTTTCTCTTCAAATAAATGAATCAAGTTAAGGCTGGATACAGGGTGCATGTGTATTGCTATGAAAATGGATGAGCAGCCGTAACTAAGGTTTGCCTGCAGACATCAAGTATGTAAGCCCCAGAGACAATTCTACAAATAAAATGAGTGTGTGTGTGTGTGTGTGGGGGGGGGGGGGTTAATTCTTATCAACTGGTTCCTTGAAAAAAAAAGGAAAGTTCCTCATAACTAAAATTCAAATACCCGAATAGTCGACTAAATTCGTCAAAAAAATTGACGATAATTTGAAGATCACCTTCTTTAGTGAATATCAAGTTATACATCTCACGCCCCTCTTAAAATCGCCTCTGTCTAAATTAAAACTATAACTATATTATTTATGCTGGAAAACAATTTTATTCTAGTTTGGTTTAAATGACTTTTTCATTTTCTCATTTGTCATTATCTAGCATGCAGCACTTGCAGTTTCTGGGATAATGTCAGATGGACCAGTTGGTAATCTTTTCAAAAAATTTTAAATTTCTAGGAAACTATAAAGCTGAACATAAATTTGAAAAATCTTAACAGGTTTGAATGATGCAAGTGGAAAGAATATTTAAAAAAGAAAAGGTAGAGATTTGTACATTCCTTTTTTCTATTCAAAAACAAATTTCTATTAATGAAAAAATTTGAATTACATTTTTACAAAAGCTTTTCAAACCAAAACTTTTCTTCGATGTTCCTTGTTTACAGAAAATTTTCTACGTGGTGACTACAAGCATTTGTCAGAGCTTGTTTTGGCTAGCTATCTTTAAGATTTGTAACCTGTTGCTTTAATCTATCTATAACATGACAATAGAACTCCTTAAATTTCATCTGCAACAATTTGATATAATTAGTACAGAAGAAACAGCAACAGTTCATCAGGTTGTTGAGTTTACTAGGCTATTTCATTCAAAATGGTTTCTGAAAGTACGATTGACAGCTTCTTTTTCTTACTTAAATTTATGTGCAATCAGGGACATGATCAAGTATGTGCAATCAGGGATATGATCAAGCATGTGCAATCAGGGACATGATCAAGTATGGGTCTTTACCAAAATAAATTCAACTGAAGCAATTAAAAGTTTTAAAAACAATTAATGGTTTTTTACAAAGAAATGTTATACTTGCTATATGCGATAAAACGCTAGACAAACACAAGATAACAAATTGCCAAAAAACTATTTTTATACCCTAAACCCTTAAGATTAACATTGCGAAAACCACTTTTTTCAACCAACAAAATAACAAATGTTCCAGAGTTATGGCAACCGGTTGGACCTCAAAGTTTGATTCTAATTCAACAGCTAAATCTATCTGGAATAGAAACAGAATGGATGCAAGTTAGCTCTAAGTAAATATTTCTCTTAATTGGTTTAATATATTACAGCTTTTTACCATTAAAAATATTTAAAATATTTGAAGCTCAACAAAAAAGTGCAAAAACCCGCTGCAGAAAGTTGTATGACAATTTTATTATATTGCCAAATGTAGAGTAAAAGCAGATAAGAAATTTAAATACATAAAATACGACAAGTTTGCTAAAAAAAGTCTTGATTAGATAAGCTATTTGCTGTCGTGGCAAAAAATCACTCAGTCCACATTTTCGGGTCAAATATATGTTAAAGAGTGTTTACAAAAACGCCTTTTGCCTCTCATTAAATCACACAATAAGAGACCTGTGTTCTGGCCAGATTTAGCTTTAATTCATTATTGTAAACTAGCTTTGGAATGGTATAAAAATAATAATGTAAAATTTGTGCCTAAAACAAAAAATCCTCCAAACTGCCCAGAATTAAGAGTTTTTGAAAAGTACTGGGCCATTGTTAAAAGAAAAATAAAAATAAAAAATAAAAAAAAAACCTTGCAGAAATATTAAAGATATTAAAATATCATTTAAAAAAGCATCAAATGGCTTTAATTTTTATTCTGTGCACAAGCTTATGGGTACCACCAAAGCTAAAGTTCAAAATTTTATTAGATTTCCACAGGAATAATTTGATTTTTTTTTAATATTTGATCTTCTTATATTATTGTATTAAAGTTATTACTTGGTTGGAAGTAAAAATTGAAGAGTACTTTTTTTAAATTGTTTTTCTACTACATTTATTTCGTGTACACGCTTTAAGTCGACTAAAAGTCAATTTAGGCGAAATATAAAAATAATTTATTTTTTCTAAATAAATAGTAATAAAAATAATAGCGTAATTTATATTTGCTTTCTATTTTTTGATATAATATCATTTAATTAATAACGGAGCAAAACAATTTTTTTTTTTTTTTTTTTTTACAACTTTAATAAATTTTCACATCGTTACGTTATAACTACATGACATAATATAATCTCACGTAAAAATATAATACCACGTATAACATAGCATATCAAAAATTGGTTTAACAAGTATATCTAAATATAGCGTATATTATTAGTGTTTCTTATCATAAATGTTACCAGTATTTTTAAAAAATAAAAGAATAAAAATAAGAAAAGAAAAAAAAAAGACAAGAAATTTTTTGGTACTACAGATATATACATGTTGTTGTAAAGGAAAACTCGTAGAAGTCTATGATAAGTCTATCATCAAGTAACTCTTTAAAAGGTTAAATAAAGTTTATTTTATTTTTATATATAGTCAAAAGTGGTTAAACAATATACAATCAGTGATACACATAAATATTTTAATATAAATTTTAATGTTAAGTTTAATACATATCGATATAATTGTTGGTATTAAGTATGAGGTGTTTAATTTATTTTTCAAGTTGGAGGCATTATTTAATACTTTAAGTTCTATATTTTTGGATATGATTTTGTTATATAGGTACGGACCTAAGTTCTATATTTTTGGATATGATTTTGTTATATAGGTACGGACCCCGGTAGGAAATAGAAAACCGTAGGAAATAGAAAACCGTAGGAAATAGAAAACAATATGAGAGAAGGACTGTTCCGACAATGGGAAAATCTATTCCCAGACCCCGATGGTTTAGAGACCGTTTTAAATACTTGTTATATATTAAAAAGTCATATTTACTTTGTGATTGTTTAGATGACATATAGATTTTGGAGCTTCACAATTTAATTTGCTCCAGAGCCCCGAGCCAGCTTGTATGAAAATATTTATGAAAATCATAAGCAATGAGTAAACAAAAGAAAAAAAATTAATGAA